ATCGGAACGGGCCGTTCCCAAGTCTGGAACAGGCCATTCTCGAATTGGAACGGCCCGTTCCGAGGCTTCTTAAAGGCCTAAAAATGGTAGTTTGGAACGGGCCATTCTAGACTAGAACGGGCCGTTCCGAGGCTTCTAAAAGGCCTAAAAATGGTAGGTTGGAACGGGCCGTTCTAGACCAGAAAAACCCGTTCCAAACCAATCACAGGGGTTTAATTGTGTACCCCGGAACGGGCCGTTCTGAAATCAGAACGGGTCGTTCTAGTTCGCGGAACAGGCCGTTCTAATTTCAGAACGGGCCGTTCTAATTTTGGAACAGGCCGTTCTGGACCCTTTCTGAAGTCTATAAATAGACTGCTTGGGCTCATTTCTCAAGACACCGAAAATTTCGTTCAGCACTCTCTAGAGCTCGAAATTTCTCTCTTTTTCTCTCTCTCGCTCTCCGATTTTATTTCTTAATTATTGTGAGTCATTTGTTTATTTGTAAATGTTGCCATAAAGCACTTACAATTTCCATATTGGAAGATCTAACAAAGCTTGCTACGAGGTATTTTAATCAATCTTCTTCTCTCTCTTTTATTTCTTATATTTGATAAATATTGTTTATAATAAGAGCAATCATGTAGATATTCTAGAGTCAATTGTTTAATTTAAATTTTAAATCATGTAAATAATCATCAATAAAAGGGGATCTAATATTTAAAGAAATTATTTCTTATCACATTAACTTCATCATAGGGTACCGATTTAGGGCGTTGTAGGGGTGCTTAATACCTTCCCTACACGTAACCGACCCCCGAACCCAATTCTGGTTATCAAGGCCATTATTGGATCTTTTAAAAATCTTTTCTTTTTCCAATGTTTTGAGTAAAATATTGGTGGCGAATCCATAGAACCTATTTTCAAAATCATTAATTAAGGATTAGTCTGGTGTTCGGGCATTCCTTAATTGATGGGATTTTTCAAAGGACGTCTAAACCATTAGTCGCGAGATCGGAAATTTTTGGGTTGCGACAGATGGCGACTCCACTGGGGACGTTTAAATAGGGTCAGGCCCATTTAATTGATGAAGTTAATAAAATAAAATAATAATTTAAATATTTTCCCCCTTTACTTTGTTCGCTTTATTTGTTTGGCTTTAATATTTGTTTGCCTGTTTAAATTCTGCATCTTTTTGAATAAAAAATTGTACATAAACCTTTGCACACAACAGTTCCCCCTACACCCGAGGGCATGAGGGTATTAAACATAGGGAGTGGTTGACGTACGACCGGCCTAAGTTTGGCCTTGGAGCCTGCGAGCCTTGTCGGAAATCACACTCAAGGTGATAACTGGTTACTCTAGCCTGAAATATTGCGACAGACCTTAGAGTTTGCTAGGTGCTGGTGATAGAGATACTGGGTCCCTATAATGGGTGCACCTTGGGAGCCTTAAGACCAGTGAGATTAGGACTTTCATATACAATGCACTTTTCTTACAGGGACCACAGACCAAGGATTTAAACGTGACTGTTCGCGGGTGTACATTTGTTTGAGCATATGTGTGTTGCATTTGTTTGTGTTTATTTATTTTAATGGATACGAATTACAAACAAATAGATATTAATAAAAAATAATAATAAAAATTATATACCCTTTTGTTCATTCTTAGGTCATCATTCCATTAACATCATATAAGTAGTTTCTTTTAAAAAAAAATCAATAAAAGAAATCTCTTCTTTACCATGCATCATTCCCCTTTAGATAATAAAAACATGATAAAATTAGGCAAAAAAAATGACATGCATTCTAGATTAGCTCATTAATTTCATCCATTTTTTTTTATTAACTAAGGAGGATTAGGTTTTCGTATGTATAGAAAGTTAAGAAAAGTGAATGCTCTAATATACAACAGCATTTGCGCTTTAAATATAAAAAAAACCGAATCATCTTTAAAGACTATGGTTTGCCCCTTAATATGATATGTTTGTTGAAGTAAGTCTTCTAAGAATCTAATACAGATTCTCGCTCAATACTATCAAATCTATTTGAGCATTCACAAATAAACAAATCAATAAGACTGATATTTATTATTCTCAACTTTCTCTACATTCTGCATTACATTCATTTAGAACATATCCCTCCTTGTAAAAGAATAAATAAGAATAAAAAGGGGAATTAACCTATGTGCGTTAATCGGAAG